CAAATCTTTTTCTCTCCTTTTATATATATTTTTTAGGTGGATGCTGATGTGTGCAAGTAATGTAAAGTTGAGACGCTTATATATTCAATTAGCGGGTCATGTAAGCATTTTTGGACAGTAACGAGGTTTTCAATGTTAAGTTACAGAAATAATAAAGTCAATTTTAAAGTCTGGGGGCATTGTTCGCACAGTGTAAATTTCAATGACCATTTAGGTTTTCGACCGCGCTACTGAGACAGACTCAAATCTAGGCCTAAAACCAGGTTGACGTGGCATCTCCATAAAATAAAATAAAAACTCAAAATTATTAATTTCATTTCTCATTTTCAAATAACGCAATCATCACAATCTCTCACGCTGTCTTCCCCAAAATCGAACCCTACCTTTCTCCAATTCTCCTCGACGACGACGGCGACGTCGGCCAACCATCTCCGGTCGCCATGAAAAGAAAGGGCGGACATCCGTTTAGCAAAAACCTCGCCGTCGCCGTCGGCTAACCATCTCCGGTCGCTGTGAAAAGAAAGGGTGGACAGCCGTTTACCAAAAACCTTAGTATCCTCAAATGAAATCCAGAAAATCGAAAAGCCTTTTTTTCTAGGTCTTTTGTATTTGAAAAATTCGGCAGATTCCGTTAAAATTGAAGATCCTGTAGTTCCTTTTGGTGGTGTGGTGAAGAAGAAAGACATTAATCTCTGCCATGGATGGAGGATTGTTGAAGCTTTGACAGTCTGATTTTCTGGAAGCGGACATCACTGCTTTTCGTTTCAGTTTAATTGCACCACCGCCGACCCGACGTCAAGTATATTTTGTGCTCGGACGGCGCCTTACAAATTAAACGCATTTTCCTAACTGTCTATAATTGTGACTGTGTAAAATTGGAATTCGAAAATTTCTTCTGCTTGTAACTGTGGTTGGTAATTAATAGTAATTCTTGATTAATTTCACTCTTCATTTCTCCACCATTGTAACTGTGGTTGGTTAGAATCAGCAGTAATTCAAATTTGTTATATTGGTAAATAACTTAATGCAATTTTGTTGTTGGTGTTTTTTTCCTGTCGTAGAATGCCCAGAAGGATGCTGCTAATATAGGGAAATTATTCCATTGTGGATGCTACTTTGTGTCATCTTTATGTTGCTAGTTTGCTAATAAAGGATGCTGCTTTGTGTTGTCTTTATGTTGCTAGTTTGTGTTTTCCACAACTAGACTAGTGCTCGAAATGGCTTCACAATAAAAGGTAAAAATATGCACCTTTCTGCCATGCTATGAACACTCAATTGCTGATTTTAGAAGTAGATTAGCAGAATTTCTCCAAAAATTTAGATATCACATATCTTAATTTCAACTATCTACACGAGCATTGCTTACTGATCATCAAAATTGAAATAATCAAGTTTTGAAAGCTTCAGAATAAGAAGTTCAAAGTGTTGAAAAGAAATTACATTCCGAACATAGTAAGTATAGAACATTAAATATCACTAGCTGGACATATGAGAACCACATTCCTAAAATACCTCATTACACAAGCACCATCTATGCTTCGTATATGGAAAAACAATCTGAATAGCATTTTGCATTGCCCTATCCTGATTGGTAATTATTCCACGTGGAGCTTCACCTTGCATGTACTGTAGCCATGTCCTGAACAACCACACAAAAGTATCCGTGTCTTCGTTCGATACCAAACTACAACCGAACAGTATTGATTGTCCGTGATGATTGACGCTAACAAACGGAGCGAAAGGCATGTCATACTTATTAGTGAGATGCGTTGTATCAAAATTAATCACATCTCCAAACTCCTTGTACGCCTGACTACACAGGTAATCCAAAATACATTTCTAAGACGAGACTCGTCGTCCAAATCCATACTAAAGTAAAATCTTGGGTATTGTGATTGCATTTTTGAAAAATATGCTTGTATTGCTGTAACATCTCCTTCTCCAAGTTGTAGTCGCCTCACTTTTTCTATATAGTTCCGACAATCTTTTTCAATGCAAGTCATTTTCTCATACCCATATGCTTATACCACTGTGGAGTCGTAACTTTTATGCAACGGAATCCCCGGCCAAATCATTCACTTCAAGCTTCCATTTCATTTGTTCACTCAAACGTCGATTGTATCGATATAACCTGGACTTAAAAGAACTTGTTTCATGATTGTGGTCCAGGTGGATCGCGTTAATTCTCCAATTTCCAAGACAATCTGAAGATGCAGATATCGTGGCTTTACAACCCATCTTAACTGTCGGTTGCGGCTTCAATGAACGGCTAGTATTATCGCTTATTCGGTATTCACGACTACATGTCAACGTCAAATGTCTCAAAACACCATCGTCCCCCTTTTTCGAATTCCTTTTCTTTACTGGAAACCCAACGGCTTAAGCATATTTTAAGTAGAACTCATGCATATCTTTTTCATCTTTAAATAGCATGCCCACCTCAGGCACATTTACAACGCCTCCCTCCGATGTTTCACATTCAACTACGTTAACGGTCTCCGTGACGTTCTCATTATCAGATTCCACCAATACATCTTCATGCTCGTCTTGCACGTCGTCCGTACTCTACAAAATAAATAACAATAAAATCAATTTCAAAAAGCCCAAATGACTAATCATCAAATAAGAT